ACATTATTGTACATTATTGTACATTATACATTCAAACAGAAATCTTATTCCTTCATTTTTCAACAAAAGATTCTAAATAGTCGCTACATATATATATATATACCAATTTTCAATTATTCCCTCATTAAAATTATTTATCAACAACAAGATATCATTGTAATATGTTCTTAACGTTATACATTATATCACCAATCCTCTATCCCCCTTTCTTGTTCCAGGTGTCCATAGCTCCCCGCACAAACGCCGCGCTGGGCTTTGCCCAGATCCTGCCCAAGGACCAATACCTCCTGACCAAGGACCAGCTCTTCGAGCGGATATGCATGGCGCTGGGGGGCAGAGTCGCGGAAGCCATCACCTTTAACAAAGTGACCACAGGTGAGGAAGGCCGGCCTTGCGCAGAAAGGAAGCTCCTTGGCCTCCCGAGGGCAGCGGGTGCCTCCCTTCGGGGGGGATTTCGAGAGCCCCTTGGCCGCCTCTGAAAACTTTCTCAGCGTTAACCTTTGTCTTCATCCTGCCTTGGTCCAGGGGCCCAAGATGACCTCCGGAAGGTCACCAGGATAGCCTACTCCATGGTGAAGCAATACGGCATGATGCCCGCCATCGGCCACCTGTCCTTCCCAGAGACGGAAAGCGGCAGTCGAGGGGTTGGAAGGCGCCCCTTCAGCCAAGGGCTCCAGCAGATAATGGACCACGTAAGCCAGGGGGGCCGAGCAGCAGGGGAGGCGGGACTGGCTGGTCTCGAGTGACAGGGCTCTTGAAGCGGGACCCCTCCCCATCGCAGCTTCCCAGGCAGGAAGGATATCCGGCTGGCCCGATCCCTCCTAGTGGGCAGTCAGGGCCAGGACGCTGGATCCCCAGCCGCCTCTTCTCCTGGCTGGGAGCTTTGACTGAAAGGCCGTGGCCCCCATTCCTTCCACGGCTGCCTTTTTCCTAGGAAGCGAAGTTGCTGATCGCCCAGGCGTATAGGCGCACAGAGAAGCTGCTGATGGACAACCGGGACAAACTGCAGATGGTAAGGCCCAAATAGAGAGCTGGGGAGGGTGAAAGGCCGGGAGGGGATCGGCAGTCGGTCCCTAACAAATTGCTCCCTTCTGGCTTCTCCTGTGAGGTTCAAGTGACTCTCAGAGCAAGTGTGCTATTAAAGAGAAAGAACACATTATAAAACTCCTGCTTGAAAGCTGGCAAAGAGCTCCGGGCTCTGTTAGGGTGCCCTCCCTGCAGCACCCCAAAGGCTCCCCCTTTCAGGAGGTGCAGGTGGAGCCAAGGAGCCAAGGGGCTTGGGAGACACCAGGAGAAGCTTTCTGCCCTCCCCTCTTTGAGGATGGACAAGGCTGCGCAGGCCCATGATGCCCATTCCCACCCCTTCTTCACCTTTCCTGGGCTGGCAGGGTCTGTGGTAGGGAAAGAGAGGGTGGATTCTGACCTGGGCAGTGCCAGGAACTTAAGACATGGCCAAAGGATGTGCAAAACATTTCATGCCGGTGTGACATGTCTCCGGAGCGCCTTGTTTTCCTTCCAGAACAGGCAGATCTGTGATTTGGTTCTGGAACATCTAGATGTAGTTGATGCAGAAGGAAAGGCAACTCGTGATATTCTAGATGCGCTGCATTCTCAAAAGGAAATGTGGCAGGTTTGCCACTTTTCAGTTTTCCCACTGGCAGAGTAATGCTGCCTGCTCCGGGCAGCTGTTTTTGGCTCCTTAGCTGGAACGCAGAGATCAGGGGAGAAGGGTTTTCTGCAGCCAGATTTCTTTGACCACAAAACTTTGGAAGTGGTGAAGGGGCTGAAAACTTTCCCCAGAACGTTCTGTCCCGTTTATCAGGACCCCTGAAGGTCCTGAAGGTGGGCATCGGTCCCCCGTGCCATTTTTGACTCCTGTGGCAAATGGAAGCTTATTGATTGAAGCCTGCCAATTCTTCCTCTCCAGCTGGCAGACGCCCTCTTGGAGAAAGAAGTGATCAACTACGAGGACATCGAAGCCCTTCTCGGCCCTCCCCCACACGGGCCCAAGAAGACGATCTCTCCCCAGAGCTGGATTGAAGCCGAGAGGGACAAGCAGGACAGGGGAGAGGAAGAACCCTCTCCCCAGCTGCCCCCTTACAAGGAGGAGCAGGAGCCTCACTTGAACTCCGTTTGAAGCCCGACCATGAAGCGAGTAGCCAGTTGGGTTCGGGGTTTTTCTTCCAAAGGTAGAAATGCTTATTTTGGCATCCTGAAACCCAGCCCAGTTTGGATGTGGGCAAGTAGGCAGGCCGAGAGCGGTGAGCAGTGCCGGAAGCGCCATCTTTGAGACCCCCTTTGGTTTTGGTTCATGGAACAAAGCCAGCTCTCTGCCTGGGGTCTCCTGCTTAGCTGTCCCCACTAGAACCCTTCACAGAGAGGCATGTTAGAGACTTCCAAAGTAGCCCCTTGCATTGCAGAGTTGAGAAAAGCAACTATTTTAGTCCTGATATGGAAGCGCCCCCTACTGGCGGGCTCCGTCACCTCCTGTGATCAGCGTCTGCCACCTGGTGGTCTGCTGAGGAACCAGCACCACAATTTATTCTGGTGGAGAACTCCGGTTAAGCCAGTGTTTCTCAACCTTGGCAACTTGTAGATGTCCGGACTTCAACTCCCAGAATTCCCCAGCCAGCATTCGCTGGCTGGGGAATTCTGGGAGTTGA